TGGGGGCGGCCCCAGCCCAGCCAGGCGCCACCCCACGCTGAGCTCCCCTGGCCGCGGACACTGAGGCCGGCTCTGTGACCGCAGAGGGAGGCCCCAGCAGCACCCCCTCCCCGCTGACTGGACGTCTCACAAAGCGGCTCTGGACCACACTTTGCAAACAGAAGAAGTGATGTTTTCAGGCCAGAGTTACCACGGCAACCCTCAGCCGCCTCTGGAGGCGCAGATGGCAGCCAGCTCAGAGGGGAGGACTTGGGCACCCCCCGCCCCGCCCCCACTCTCCACCTCCTCCTCGGGGTGACAGGCCCCATAGAGCAGGGACAGGATGCTGGCGGCCTGGGACCCCCACATGCATCAGGCCTGAGGCTGGTCAGCTAGTTCCTCAGGGTCTGTTTTTTTCAAATTTATTTTTACTGATTTCAGAGAGGGAGATAGAAACATCAAGGATGAGAGAGAATCACGGGTCAGCTGCCTCCTGCACGCCCTCCACTGGGGATCAAGTTCAGAACCCAGGCCTGTGCCCAGACCGGAAACCGACCGTGACCTCCTGGTTCAGAGGTTAACGCTCCACAGCCGAGCCCCGCTCTGGACACGTGCCCGCGGGTCAGTGGGGTCGGCGCCTGGAGGTTCCCAAGCGCTGGGATGGGAGGCCGGGCTCAGCACGGACGCTGGAGGCAGGGGCGGCCAGGGCCGGCCGCGGGGCCAGGCCTTCCCACTGGAGCCTGGCAGCTGCGGGAGCACAGCCCCTCGGAGGGCACCCAGGCTGGTCAGGTGCTCAGTGGGCGCCGGCCTGGCCGGGCCTGGTCTGGCCGCCTCACCAAGGGCAGACCCATTGCCGCCCGGGAGCCCCGGTGCTCACCAGGCTCTGAGGGGGGCCTCCTTCCTGCCCCATCCGAGCGTCCGGCGGCTTCCTTTCTCCCACCGCCCATCTCCGCGGCTCCCACGTGCTCAGGACTGTGGGCAGTGCCTCCCTCAGAGGGGCCTGGCGTCCCCTGGGTGGCTCGGGGTCTGCGGTGGCCACAGGCCAGAGCAAATGCACATGAGGGCGCCCCCTAAAAATGCAGGCACCCAGGTACACCCCAGCTTCAGATGCACAGTGGGCACGCCCGGGCACTCAGCATGGCCGCGGATTTAGGGGGCCCGCATTGCAGGGGCGGGTGGGGACCCGCATTGTGGTCCCTGATGGCTGCTGGGGCCCAGAGACCCAGGCCTTCCTGGGGCACCTCAACACCCCCCGGCAAAGCAGGCGGCCGACGGCTGCGGCGGCCCTCGGAGCCCTGAGTGGTGGAGGGGGGCCCGGCCTCTGGGAGCTCCGTGTGTTGCGGGTCACACACGGTGTGTTGTGGTTCGCACCTGCCCTGCGGCCTGGGCCACAGATAACGCCTGCCCTGTCCCTTCCCCAGCTGGCCGGAGGCGTGATCCTGGGCGTGGCCCTGTGGCTGCGCCATGACCCGCAGACCACCAACCTGCTCTACCTGGAGCTGGGCGACAGGCCTGCACCCAACACCTTCTACGTCGGTGAGTTCTCCTGGGCCGCCTGCTGCGGGCGGGGCCTGCACAGTGGCTCAGTAGGTATCTGGTCATGAGCTCATCGAGGCCAGGCAGGCAGTCAGGGAGGGCTCCCAGGAGGAGGGGGGCCCCAGGAGGAGGGGGGGCTGAGTGGGCTTCCTCTGTGCGGTTGGGGAGGAGGAACCAGAAAGGGTTCTCTGAGCAGGAGGGAGAGACGGAGCCAGAGAGCCCAAGGGGTGAGGTCAGCCTGGGGCCTGAGGGCCTGGGTATCCCCCACCCATGTGGTCCAGGGAAAGCAGAACTGAGGGGGTGTGGCTTGTTGGGCCCCCGATCGCCAGAGCTGGGGAGCAGGGGCTGAGTGGGGCGGGGGAGCTGTGTCCTGGTGGGTATTTTGGGAGGCTCCCTGGGAAGGGGGGCCGGATGCCCGGGCAGCCAGCGCCTGAGACTGAGGGGTGGAGACTCAGGCCCAGGAGGGGGGGTGGGGGCCGCTGCCTCCCGCCACCCACAGCCACACCTTGCTGCCTTACTCGGCTGCCCATTGGCCTGTCGGCCTCCCAGAGGCACCAGCTGTCCCGGGGAATGGGGGGAAGGGGAGGCCTCTGTGGGTCCCAGCCAGCGGGTGGGAGGCGGGCCTGGCCCTGCTGGGATCTGGGTGTTGGCAGAGATGTTTCCTTCAAAGAAGGTGGGTGTGACCTTCGAGGGCAGCGCAGGCGGCCGCCCTGGCCTGGTGCCAGGCTCGTCGGGAGCCCCACAGGC